TGCCCTCAGTGAGCTGACACCCCAGTGGATGAGCAGCTGCTTCATCCCACTGCTTCTATTCCCTGTCTTTATCCTATGTTGCCCTTTTTTGTGGAAATTCAAAACATAGACGCAGATGGAAGAAACTAAAGGTACCCAGGGGAATTGGGGCCCAACTCCAAGTGTCAAGAGCAGGACTGTGTAGTGTAGTCATGGAAGCAGGTGATACTTGGACCCAAATAACTTCTAATTTTCAGTTTAAAGATGAGAATAAAAAAGATTTCCAGAAGGTACATGTACTCAGAATTTTATTCCTCTAATACATCTCCCTCTCTCTCTCCCTCCCTTTCTCTCTCTCTCTCTCTCACACACATTCTATAGTCTCCTCTCCCCCAAAAATACCCCCAAAGATACACATACACAAATATACAAACTATGCAAAACTAAACAAATACACAAACTACACATGATGGGAAACCCAGGCATACCCATATAAAGACATGCATGACATATTTTCAAGACACATCAACACCTACAAACATGCCTATTTCCGTATCTTACCTATAGGAGAATGACCACAATCACAAACAAAACCACGCACATCAAAACACTTGCTAGTATAGGCTGTGATTCTCAGTCCAGCTGTTCCTGTGGCTGCCCTCCCCATCACTTCTATAAGGTTCAGAAGATTAAACAGTTGGCAGCCAGCTTCATATAGATGCCTTGTAAACAAGAGGGCTCAGCTTTAAATAATTATGTCAAAGAAATGACAACTGTGCTCTTTGCCAGAAAAGGGATGAATAATTACAAAGCCAGGACATAATTAAGCAATTCTGACTGTCGAATTATTGAACTCTCTCTCTGATGTGCAAAGCTGGCGCGCCTGCCACGCATGCCCTCCTGGACAGGCCTCTGCACTGCTTTGATCTACACTTCCTAGTGCAGCAAGGCGGGGGGGCGGGGGGGGGTGGGGGTGGGGGGGTCACAGCCTGGTCATTACAGAAGCCTTTCTTTGGGGGCCTCAACCTTCTCAGCATCCAGCTTGGGCTCTCTGCATTGACAGTGGCATGATTCAATAGCCAATATTTGACAAAGATATATATATATATTTTTAAATTCTGAGAAATAAGCAAAGCCTGGCTGTTGCAGGCCCATTAACACACACACACCCCCAAATCTAGAAGAGTCCCTTGTAACATTAGCTATCACTTCCTAATGAATGACAGCATCTTTCTGTAGAACAATCAGAGCTCAGACAGAAGGTAGCTTTTAAAAATCAAAAGCCAAAAGGCATCAATGAAGAAGAAATGTGTCATCGTGAGACAAAGCAGGAGAGAACTCGCACTCAAGCACCAGGGCCTGCCAGATACCAAATCAAACCTTTGTGTCATAGGGGGTTTATTAGTTCCTGGATGACTTTGCATTTGCATCAGCCGAGAATACCCAGACTACCTGCTCCCTACCTCCAAGGCAAGGGCTGTGATTGGAGAGGCATTTTTCCATTCTCCCAAATAGTTTATGTCAGGAATAAAATGAAAACAGCTCCCCAAATCACAGCCCTTCTGATCATCTATCAGAGCATTCTGCTGAACAAGCACAACAGGCTGCTGGTGCCTCAGAAAGGACAGAAGCCAACTTGAGATTCCGATTCTGTTATGAAAAATAGGTCTTCACCAAGTGTGCTCAGCACAGTGTTGGCAATTCATGGGGAAGAAATTGCTCTCCACTTAGAAGCTGACTCTTGCTGTACACAAACCTCCCAGAACATACATTTGTATATGTATATATATATATATATATATATACACACACAGAAATGGAAAGCATATATATATACACACCTGCATAGGAACAAACATATGTCTGTACATACTGTGAGCAGATGAGAATCAGCCTTTTTAATACCCATTTATTAATTCAGCAAGGAGCTCATTTGGCCTCTTTCTATCTGCAAGAAAAGTACCAGTGCATATCTCTGAAAACAATAGACAAAAGGGAATTGCCTGTGTAGGGGAGGAAGACATTTCCTCTACCCTCTCTGGGTCCTCCTGGCCGGACAATGAATTAAATTGACATGACACAGAATAACAGGAGAAAATTAAACAAAGCTTTATAACATGCATACATGGGACAGGCTCAGGCAAACTGAGCAACTCACCAAAATGGTGGAAGTTCTCATCTTAAGTACCAGCCTCAGCTAAAGACAAAGTAGGATGTTGGCAGTGGGGAGAGTCAGTTATGGGAGATCATCAGATAAGCACAGTAAACAAGAGTAAGGTTATTAGTCTGATTTAAGTCCTTGCATTCTGCACTGATAAGAGTTTCTAGAGATAAGGTCATGCCCCCCTCTTCCTGGTAAAGAGAGGGAGACACCTTTACAGATGGAGATTTCTTTTACAAATGTAAATGTCTCTTAACAAAGGGTAAGTAAATTCTACTTTTCAGAGTTTCTTTCCTGTCTGCATTTTTTTAAAAGTAACCAGCACAAAATAATCCTCATGCCAAAGAAACATATCTTGGGGTGGCCAATTCCAGTCCCCCACACCTGCCACTCATGAGAGGCATACAGTTTGATATGAAACCAGGAACACAGAGAAATCTTCTAGTGCACTTCAAGGATCATGGAGTAAACACAACACTTAACTAGAAGCCCAGACCCCTGGGTTCTGCTTCCACAGAACTGTGGGGACTTTAGGAAACTACATCCTCTCCCAGTTCCTTCACTCATAAAATGGGGTCACAAACCAGATGATTTCTGACGTCTTCTCCAGTTTAGAAAGCATACGACTCTCCAAAAAGATAACACCTGAAGCTCCCTATGCTTTCTCAGAGTATTTTCGTCTCTCTCCAAATAATTAATGGATATTTTTAAGCTTAACACATTTAGTAAAGATGTTAAGAGTCAATCACACAAACATGAGCTAATTTTATAATTGATTAGAAACTAATTTGGAGCTTTGAAGAGCATTTCTGCTGATGTTGCTAACGACTCTGAGAACCAGCCACTACTGGATCTTAAGGAGTCATTCCCACTTGCTTTCAAAAGAGGGGAGGATTTCAATCCTCTCCCCCAATGTCTCTGCTCCAACCGAACAGTCCTGCTTTTACCTGTGGTCTTCACTTAGGTTCCTATGAAGTTCTGTTTGAACAGACAGATGCACAGGGAAAATGTTTAGCTCACTGCTCCAGGGGTAAGAAATCAGGGTGGAAGAATGTGGGCTCTGTGTTCAGACACACAGGTAAAGCTCCAGCTCCAGCAATTACTAGCTGGGTGACTTGGGCAGCCCAATTAACATCTCTAGGCCTGAGTTACCTCATCTGTAGAGTAAGCCAATGCCCCCTTCCTTCTACATTATAGGGTTACGTGAGAACTCACAAATCTGCATACAAAGAACCTTAGGACAATGGTGGGCACGCATGGAGCACCCCACCCAAATATACTGAGTATTGTATTTTATACCCCTTCAGACTTCCAGTGACAATGTAGAGCTTCCCATGTCAAAGACCATGAGAGTGGGAGAAATATTGATTTATTTATGCATTAGGTGAGAAATGTAGGCTGGGCAGGAACCTAAGATATTATAAAAAGTTCATTTGTTGTATTTTGTTTGGTTTGATGGTGTTGGCTGTCTCTGGAATCTTTTAACCAAAGGAAAAAGAAAGGAGTCCGAGAAATAAATTATTTCATTTGGACAAAATTACAAAAGCTGGAATAACTAAAGGCAGTCATGAGCAATATGTCAAATCTGTGCATTGATAAGGAAAACTGTTAACACTTTAATAGCTACGAAATGAATCATTCCATTAATTTCCCACATGCTGAAACAGGTAACAATACATTTATCTGCCAGAATTATACCCTCCCTATCATATATTTCCACAACTGTTAGCAATTTTATACAGCATAATGGGAAATAAGTTGCACCTCATGGATTCCAGGGGAGAAAGTGGCCTGAGGTCTGCTGCCAGCTGAGCTACTTGATAGAAGAGGTTTCATTTTTCTGTTTTGGTTCTGTTTGTTTTTTTTCTCTTTCTCTCTTAATCATTTCCAATGCACGTGCAGAGGGCTCTAACTCAATAAGTGAGGACAAACTAGACCTCCAGGATTTCTAGGCCAATGTTTTCAACACCCAAGCTAGGATCCCATGGGAAGTGACTACGTAGCTCCACAAAACCCTAGGGCAGTGAGGGACCTCCAAAGGGGTCATTAAGGGACATCAAGTCCATTCTCCAGCCTCAAGCTTCAGTGAAGGACCCCAACTCCTCCTAAAGAGCTGGTTCATGTCCTTAAAAATCTCTTTCATCTGAATCCGAGACTCAAAACCACATCTCCCCTGCCTCATCAATGCTTTCATTAAGATGACACCACATTCACTTCCATGGCCTTGATGTAGACTCAGCTGGTAAAAGAAAGGTCAGTAAACACCATTCCAACAAGCTCTGGAGAGCTACATGTAGGGAGCACACACCAGTGCCAGGTCACATCGTTGGAAAAAATTGCCTTCCCCACTAACGATATCGCCGAGAGCTGTTGAGCCTTCACTTGTGGACAGAAGAGAATCACTTTCCCCTAGCTCCCCTTTGGCCCAAGAAAGAAGTGCCCCCTTTGAGGCAATAGAAGAATCATACCCACCTAAGAAGTAGTAAACGCCCAGTGCTCTCTGCTTTCTTCTTTCTCAGCTCTAGACCTGCAGAGGCCCTACCTTATAAACGAAACACCCTCAAGGAGCCCTGAAATACTCCCCCAGGAATGTCACCACTGGGCTGTGTATGGTGCTGCTTTATTTGTAAAAGAGGCAGTTGGGTAAAATCACCTTACAAATAAGATCCCCTTAGTCATGGGAAGACCCAACTTACACCCAGTTCTACTTCTTGTTTGTCAACAGTGTATCCATGGATGAAACCCTAGTGTGAGATCCCTCCTGCATTCTAAATACATAGGAGGACATCCTCCATGCTCAAACAGTAAACAGCAAAGTGAGACACAAATCTCTGTGAAGACCAGGGAGTAGGTAGTTTACCTTGGGCTTCACCACCTTCATGAATGCCCCTCTGACCAAAGCTTCCTCTCGTTCTTGTTTAGTTACTTTTCGAGCATCCAGAAACTTCAAATTGGGCAGCTTGTGCAGAACAAAGCATCTGGAAAAGAAAAGTCAGAGACGACTCAGGAAGGTTGGAGTGATGGCCTCAAAGGTCCATGCAATCTGTCTGATGCTCAGCAATCTATACCATTAGGTCTGCAGAATCTTAGATCTTGGCTGCTGCTTCTCCTCTTTTCTTTCACAAATAATGAATAATCGCTCTCTGGAGAAACCCAAATGGTTATATTTTACACAGACACACAAGTCAACTTTAAAAATGTACACTAATGGTTGCTTTTGACTCAAAGGTAGATACAGACACACATCTAGATTAGCCAGGAAGATCCTATCAATGTATTTCCCTCCTTCCATTCTGGAAAATGGGCCCAGCTTCTTTACTACACAGGAAGTTCTCAGTGAAACTAACCTAAAACCTGATTGTACCATTTATGTCTTTACCATTTGTATGGGTCATCTGTATCATTCTCATATCTGAGAAAACAACAAATCTTCAATTTGAAACTGAGACAAGAGAACTTGACTTGCCATCCAGGTAAGTAAGTTAGGATACAGGTTGTGATAACCTGGGATAGAAGTAAGAAACACGCATAGCTGAGAAATGCTTCCTTGAGGAATCAAACAGGGGTCTTGAAGACTTTTTTCTCATCATTACTGAGTTATTTCTACTCTGGCACTAGATGATTATCTTTATCAAGGAAAAACAAGGGAAGTTGGTTTCCAGGGAATGTTAACAGCCCAAAAAATTCTATGTGGTCTCCATTCCCCTGGAAAGAGTCTTTGGTATCCATTACGGCCTCCATGGATAAGCCAATGGCTACCTGTGTGATGAACTGTCCTCAAGCAGGTATATACAGAGTTGATGAGAAGCAGGTATATAAACATATAAATAAATATAGAAAAGGTATAGATACTTGCCTATACTTCTCCTTCCTCCGTGACAGTCACTAACCCAGATGCTTTCCATCAATCCCCCATCAATCAAAGGAGTAATTGTTTAGACCCTGTCCTGCTTAGGAAGAAGAAGTAAGTACCCAATGTCAAGACCAATGGATTATCTCCATGAGAATCTGTTATTTCTTTCCTGTACCCAGCCTCCTCAGTATTCATTCAACTTTCAAATCCCAACCCCCACCAAGTTTTCTTCTGTACCTCCAGCCCCCGTTGCTTTCTCCCTTCTCAGTGCTCCCAAGATACAATGTCAGCACCATACAGTCTAACATTTTGTCAGTTTTTAATTGTCTTATTGGTGTTTAGTTGATGTCCTCACCTAACTATAAACTTCTTTAGGCAGGGACACAGTTTTTTGCTTATCCTCATACCATCTTGGAAAGCAGCATTAGAACGGACTCAGTAAAATACCAGTGATTTTGGGGGCTGGCCCCGTGGCCAAGTGGTTAAGTTTGTGCGCTCTGCTTCAGCGGCCCAGGGTTTCGTGGGTTCGAATCCTGGGCACGGACATAGCACCACTCATCAGGCTATGCTGAGGCGGCATCCCACATACCACAACTAGAAAGACTAACAACTAAAAATGCACAGCTATGTACTGGGGGGACTTTGGGGAGAAAAAGGAAAAATAAAATCTTTAAAAAAGAAAAATACCAGTGATTTCAGTTGCACAAATATCTCTTGAGTACCTACTATGTGCCAGGCCATAGGTATACAGAGGTGATTATAACAAGGTTCCTGCTCTTAAAGGGGTGCTGAGTGTAATGGGGAATGATTGACTCACAAAGAGAAATTAGAAATTAGCATAGCTAAGTGCCAAGATTGAAGTTATGCAGAAAGCAGTTTTGGGGGAACAGAGAAAGGGACCTAACATTATTCACTGAATGCCTGAAAACTAATGGCTGGAGAGGAAGAAGAGGAACAGGAAATCTCAATCAGGCTTCAAAGAACCAAACTCTAAAGCAACCTCAAGCACTTAGCTTTCTCTCAGAGCAAATGCTACTCAGGGTATGTAGTGCCCCCTCCTCAGGGGAGCCTTGGGTACCCAAGGCCAGCTCCCACATTCATAAGGTGTTTCACGTCACCAAGTGACCTGCATATGCTTTTCTAGGTAAAAGACTTAGCTGATTACTCAAATGCCAAAGACTACAGCTTAGAGGCCTCCAGTCATAACCTTTGTATGATTCATTGTTAAAGTCAAAACACACTGAATTCTTCTGAGGTATAGTTTTCCTCCCCAGAAATGTCTACCCCAACATATGAAGTCCTGGAAATTTGACTATCTACATCCTGCTTCCTCTCTGGAATCTATTACCTTCTTTCCTACTTCTCCCTGAGCCTCTTCCTTCCATCTCCAAATGCCCCCTAAATGTACCCCAAATCAGAAAAGTTCCACAAAAGCCCAAATGACCTTTCTATCCTCCAGGAGAACTCTGACTGGCCTCAGTCAATGTCAGAGCAAACTTCCATCTTATTCTTGTAGCAGCAAAGTCTTGATGACAACAGATTCTTTCAAATAAAGACATGTACAGACGGAAACAACATGTCAGGAATGACGCGCAAAGGGATAAAGACACCCACTAAGTGTAGGGTGGGAAAAGATGAATATTCAGGTGAAGAAAACATCAGTATTAGAAAATCAGCCAATGTTTAATGATGGAATGAAAGATGTCTTCACAGGGCTGGCAGGAACCATGATGACAACAGACAGCACATTGTCATTTCGCCCCACTTTGGATCACAGCCCTGAAATCAAAGGAAAGAGAGAGAGAGAGAGGTGCTGGCTTTTAAGCTAGTTAAAAATTTTAGATGACAAAGAGCTGCTGTTTTCAGAGCACACTTCTTATACAATTGAAGAAATAGTCTATGAAACAGGCTGCCAGTCACCCCTGAAACTAGGGGTAATTTGACTCCCATCTTGATGACAAGCCTGGGGTTTCCAGGTGGTTGATGCTTGGAGAGGTTTCAGGGACACTAGGAAGGCTTGTCTCAAACAGTCCACTCTGAGACAGCCCAGGGTCCAAAGTTCCTCCCCCTGAGATACCTTCTTTCATTTACTTCATTTCATTTACTCATACTTTCACTCACCCATCAAATAATTATTGAGCAGCTACCACCTGCCAGGAACCATGCCAGGTGCTGAGAATAAGATGCTACACAAAACAGACAAGGTCCCTGCTCTCAAGGAGCCTATATTCCAGTACAGTGGTTCTCAAACTTGAGTGGGTATCAGCACGTCCTGGTGGGCTTGTTGAAATACAGATTGCAGCGCCCACCACCCCCACCCTCAGCATTTCTGATTCACTATGACTGGAGTAGGACCCGGAATTTACATATCAAATAAGTTCCCAGGTCAGGCTGATGCTGCTGGTCCCACTGAGAGCCTCTGTGGCACTGAAAATAACATCATGAGGAATAATAGGTTTGGAATTAGGAGGTTGACAAGGTAGCAATGAGTCTCCTTCCCACTTCCACTAATAGTCTGCTCTGCCCCAGTGTCTGTGGTACACAGAGCCCAGACAGTGGCCACGTCTACAGATCTCCCTGCCCCTTGGTGCTTTGGAACTAGCTCCAAACATTACTTCCAAGTGATAAGTCAGTGGGCTTTCTGCCTGCCTGCCCCATCCCAGTCTAGGGAGATCTATTTCCCTTTGTTCTAGTTCATGTCCGGGTGTCAAAAGCTGCAGCTTCAATCCTGAGGATAATACAAGTTTGCCATAAAAATACAAGAGAGGATTCCTGAAGCCACAGAATGAAGGCTTTTACAATATCAATTCAACCCTTGTAAATTTAATCCAGGGTTATTTGTTGCACCAAAATCTCTTTACCGTGATGTATGACTTAGTTACTGGGGTTATCACAGCCGTATCCTAAAGTTGCATAGTACATAAAACATTTCAGTTAACAATGCGGGAAGGTTAACTCCCCCAGATAACCTGCAATCACAAGGGCTAGTTCAGATGACATGCCTCTGTCAGCTTCCACGAGCTATTGATGGTTCAATCAGTTTGTTTTGAAGGTAAAGTACAACAAAAGGGCAGTAAACTTATTCAGACTGTCAACAGGGGCTATTGGGAATGGGGCTTGCAGGTAAGTAATTCTGGGTGTTTTAAGGCTATTACCAAACAGCAATGGTTGAAGGAAGAGACAGCTACTAATAACATAGAAGGCAGCCATCATAAACCACTTTATGGCAGAAACCCCCATCTATAAATCCTGTGACACCCAGAGACAGCTTCAGATTTATAAAACTGCTTGTTAAGCCAGGGCACTGTTTAATGAAAAGAGATCCGTCTAAGTTCTAAGTCTCACATCCCTAGCTCCAGAGGGCAATTCCAATTTTCCTGACCTTCCCAAGGTGGCTGGGCAAAAGTCCCAGGGCCCTAGGGGCAGAAGTCAGAGGCATTCTTGGCTGTGATATGGAAGGTGAGGTTATGGACAGGAGATCTGGGATCCTGGGAAGATATTTAAAGACTCATTTGTCTCTATCTGCAAACAGATTGTCTAAAAGTGAGACCTGGACACGTAGCTTTTCAGGTTCTCTCTCTTTTCACAGAGAATGCTCCATTTTCTTAAAGGATTGCTCTAAGGAGACACCTAAAACTGGTAGGGAGAGAAAAGAAAGAACAGAAAGGCTTTTTTGTTTGTTTGAGTTTTGCTCAAAAATCAATTTTCTCTGCCCAAATCCTGAAGCTCTGGCAGTTTTCATCTAGACTTCAAAGGGAGAGAAGGATGGTCTTTTCTCCTGCCTATACCTGCTACCCCAGGGGAACAGGCTGCTCCCCAGTAACACCACATAACACCAGAAATACCAAGATGGATCTCCACCGTCTGCTCCTGGGCTTATCTGCCGTGTTTCTTTCTATGAGGAGACTCTACTCAAGACAAACCAAGTTTCCAGACCCTGAGGGGAATGGGGGGGTCACTGGAGTTTTTTGCCTACTTCCTTCCTTTTATGGCATTCTATGCTTCTCATTACTTCTTGCAACCTTCTTACTCCCACGCTTGGGAGTTGGGAGACATCGTGCAAGGTACTGAGGCCCTACCAGGGGCCCCTGAAGACAGCAATGGGTGATCCATAAACTATTCTCA